AAAACTTTGAAAGGGAACCCAATTGGACTTAACATGCACCATACTTAACATGCAACACATACAAAGTGCACCAGTATGTTCTGGAATTGTAGTTCATGGTAGACGTTTGCACCGCGCTACGGCACAGATATCATTAGTACAACCAGCAGCCCAAAGCCATGTGAACTGAAAAGAAAGAAACGCATACCCCACCCTGGTGCCCAGAACGTTGACATTGCTCCTTTAATACCGTCCTGTTGGCCCCCCAGTGTTGCCAAGGTGCTTCTGACGTCAACAAAGTTATCCCTCGTGCCACGCCCACTTCAGAAGAATCCGGCTTGACTTTCCGGGAGCTTCCTGCCGAGGTTCCTGAGCAGCAAGAAGGTTGTCCAAACTCTTGGAAAGTAAAGGACAATCACACTGTATGTCGAAGGGGTGGTGTGAATCTCTCCATGGATTTACCCAAGAACTGCAGACAAGACACAGCGTCAAATGAATCCCCTGGACCTTTATCCAGGATGTCGGTTCATCAGAATTCTGCAGATCCGATGTCCCAAAATTCAAGATTAATCAACAAGTGTGATGGCCCCAGCAAGGGTAAGACTCCCACTGATATGACTGTGAACTGTGATGACAGTAGACAGAAATATCTGCAGACTAGTGGGGAAGTCATTTTCGCAAAGGCAAAAGTAACCGAACTGGCAAAGAGGATGGAAAGGAAGCCAAGCCTTGCACATCTAAATGATCCAATAGATTTGTCCAGTGCTTCGGAGGGCAGTGACCGAGTGAACAGAAGAGAGAGCGCAGCTCCTCAACAGGCTGCTTCTGCATGTAGTTCCCGAGCGCCATCCACCGGGACACTGGAAGCAGCCTGGCATGAAAACACAGGTACAGCAGGGCGCGAACTAGGAAGCACTCCGGCGCAAGCCGAGTTAAATACCGTTCCATTGCCAATGAAAGCAAGCATGAGAGACCATTTCGGCAGTTTTATTCTCAGCACGCCTCCAAAATGGCGTAAAATTGTTTCTCAAGAAACCGGAGTCCATCCTTTGTCCGTAAGCTGCGAGAGTTCCTGTGATAGAGTCGTTTTAAACTGTCGAAGTCTACGAGTAGGAACACTTCTCCGGGTGATAATAGAGCCAGTCATTTTTTGTTTGGATTTTATCAAGATACAGCTAGAAGAACCGGAAGGTGGTCCTATGGCAATTACTTTAGATACCTCTGATTTAATTAAATGTGAATGGTGTAA